CCTCCCTAGGCAGCTGGATACACTGCATGCACCTCACACCTGGCAAAAAAAAAAAAAAGACTGTTGATTTAACTGGAATTGGGATGAGGTGCTTATCCTCACCTCCAAGAAGGGCAAAAGTGTGATTATTTGTGGAAGGTCTGCCCTTTGAAGAGGTGTACACACAACTCAGAACTTAAACTTTAAACTATTACCTTAAATTATCATATTTCCACAATAAACAAATAACAGCAGCTAATATTTGTCAGGCATTTACTACGCAGCAGGCACTACTCTAAGTATAGTATTCTAAATATATTAAACTATTTAAACTTACAGCAACCTTGTCCAAGGTAGGTGCTGTTATTACCTACAATTTACAGACGAGGGCACTGAGGCACGTAGATGCTATGTAACTTGCTAGTGAGTGACAGAGCTGGAATCCAAACCCAGTATGTCTGCCTCCATGGCCTACTTTCTTAATTACTATATTAAACCATCTCGCAATAATTTAAGAGAAAACCATCAGATTAATGAGATATCTTATGACTGGCGAATTATAAATCATAATTAGTGACTTACAAAGATTTATAACTATAAACCTTATAATTGATGAACTATAAATGTTTTCAACAAATGATATTTTATTAAGTACCTAGAAAAATGAGAAGTAAAAGATGACAAAATATTGCCAAAAAGAAGTTCTATTACATGTGTTCTAATGAAAAGAAAATTATTTATCAGTAATAAGTACAAACACTGTAAACGTCACTCAAGGCTACAAGAGAGGGAACAAGGCCCCTGTAACTTGATGACATAGACTCTACAATGATGACACTGTTCATTGATCTAGCACACTCTTTATATAAACTGTAAGTAAATAATGAAAGGTAAATTTGGATTTGACTCCTCTTTAAATTATCACTTGTTCCTAGTTACTGAGATCCAACTCAAATTTTAAGGTTTCACTATAAAAAATAAAAGTAGGCAAATTTTACTATACTTTATAGGCTTTTTAGAGACAGCCAAGAACTAATTTTAGATTAACAAAGCTATATGAAGATATTCTACAACCTTTAAAACATTAGCAGTTTTAAAATAATGCAAAATATAAGAAAATATATTCTTTCTGGATTAATAGGGCTAACCCTGTTTTTTGATACACTGTCTGGAAAAAATAATGACTTAGACCATTTCTACTCTTCAAGTCACCTAAAAAGAACAAAGTAGATGAGTCCAGGGTTCCTTCCCTGAGTCTACGTCAGTTTCCTTTACCCTGACTATTAATTTAACATTTGGCATGTGTCCTACATAGCTTCCTGTTTTCTTGATAGTGACGTTTGTGCTAAACCAACAATATTTAACATCAGCTGAGAAGGAAGTCTTCAACTTTGGCAACCTAAAATAACAAGTGACTCTCAAATAAAATATGCTCAAAGATCAATAACTGCCTTTTTAAAAAGGTCACATATTACAGTAAATTACTGTTAACTAATATTAACTACATTTTCATCTTTTAGAATTTATTTTCTCTGAATTAAATCTAACATCAACTACTCAGTTTCAAAAATTATCATGGTTTCTAGACTAGATGCAGAAGTAAAGAAGCTGGAAGACTGACAAAGGGTATCTTAACATTTATCTAAATAATCTAAAACATGGGCATTTTATCTGCAAAGGCATCTGAACTGGTTCACGGAATCTTACATATTCAGCCTTGAAAGGGCTATAATTATACCCCATCTAGCTGGCCAGATCAAAATCCACAAGGTCAAGTCTTAGACCCTTTTACAAGGAAAAAGTACAAATTAAAATTGGTCAAAGAACACAAAATTGCATTCAGATAGATTTTCTACATTGATTTTCAGGGGAATGGAGCTATGCATTTGATGACATATGATATTCTTGATACATCAAGTATATTCTATCACTAAAGCCTAAAAACTATGGCTAGACCCTACTAGAAAAATGATACATTTAATTCTTAGCATAGGATTCCAAAATGCCATCACCAAAATAAGTGACTCAGCCCAGAATGTTTTAAAAATTACAAAATTAAAATATTCAAGAAAATGTGTTTGCCAATTCATGTGGCGTCAACTGTTATTCTCAGCTTCCATGCCATATCTCCATTTATAAATGATAAACTTCAACTCTACTTTAGAGTAGGAAGTATTTTTAAATGTTGGTAGGTGTCCCTATAACAAAAATGTAGTTTAAATTACAATATGGTTTCAGTAGGAATGATGGGCTCACATACTGTTTTTAACAGCTAACTAGAAGGGGGAAAAAAATCCTTTAACTTTTTCAGACAGATGCTTAGCTTATTAATTTTCAACCTCTCTTCTTTTCTAATATGTGCATTTAATTAACTCTGCTAAGAGAATAAGAGGAAATTAACGGGATTATCTCAACAAGTACAAGTGTTTGATAAAATTAAACATCCATTCATAATTTTAAAAGCTCTCTATAAACTGGGATAAAAGGGAACGTCCTTAATCTGATAAAGGCTATCTATAAAAAACTTAAAGCAACATCATACTTAAAAATAAAACATTAAAATTTTTTTCTTTGAGATAGAGGATGAGACAAGAATACCAGCTCTTATCACTTTTATTCAACATTGTACTGGAGGTCCTAGCCAGGATGGAGGAAATAAGGGGTATAGAAATTGGAAAAGAAGAAACAGAACTTACGTTTTTGCAGAAAATGTGACTGTGCACATAGAAAATTTTGTAAATGTTTAGCAAATTTTGTGCACTATTGGAATGAGTATGTGGGTTTAGCAAAGTTTTTAGAGCATACATAGAAGTCAACTGTATTTCCATATACCATCAACAGTCAGAAAACAAAACTTTCAGAAAGATGCCATCTAAAATAATATCAAATGATCAAATATATAGAAATAAATGTTACAATAGATGTGTAAGATCTCTATGCAGAAAGCTATTATTAAGAAGAAAATAAGTAAATAAATAAACAGAGATATCATGTTCATGGATTAAAAGACTCATAATGAGGCTGGGCACAGTGGCTCATGCCTATAATCTTAGCAAGTTAGGAGGCCGAGTCAGGCGGATCACTTGAGCTCAAAAGTTTGAGACCAGCATGGGCAACATGGGTAAACCCTGTCTCTACAAAAAAAATACCAAAAAATTAGTGGGCATGGTGGCATGTGCCTGTAGTACCAGCTACTTGGGAGTCTGCGGTGGGAGGATCACCTGAGCCAGCGAGGTCGAGGCTGCAGTGAGCAATGATCGCATCACTGCACTCCAGCCTGAGACACGGAGTGAGACTCTGCCTCAAAATAAAAAAAAGACTCATAATGAAGAGTTGTCAGTTCTGCCTAAATTGATCTGGAATCTGAAAGGCAGATTCTAAAATACAAATGGAATGCCAAGAACCTAGAATAGATCCGATTATCTTGAAGAAGAAAAACTCAATAGGATTATTCACAATAAACAAAAGGTAGAAGCAATCCAAGTGTCCATCTATGGATGAATGGATAAACAAAATGGATAAACAAAATTATATATACATCATACTATACATCTATATCCACACACAATGGAATGGAATACTATCCCGCCTTAAAAAGGAAGGAAATGTTGACACATGCTACAACATGGATACATCTTGAGGACCTTATGCTAAGTGAAATAAGCTAGTCAAAAAAGGACAAAGACTATATGATTCCACTTACATGAGGTATCTAAAGTAGTCAAACTCATAGTCAGAGAAAGTAGAACGGTAGTTGTAACGGGTTAAGGAGAGAGGGAAATAGGAAGCCATAGTTTAATGGGTACAGAGTTTCAGATGGATAGTAGTAATGATTGTACTACAATGTGAATAAACTTAATGCCACAGAACTGTAGGCTTAAAAATGATTAAAATAGTAAATTTATGTTATATGTATTTTACCACAATAAGAAAAACCTTGGTAGGAAATTTGCTCTACTGGATTTCAAAATTTACCATAAACGTTAGTAATTAAAATATTGACGTTGGTACAAAAATAGACAAACCAGTAAAACAGAATAAAGAGTCCAGAGACAGACCCTCACATTTCCAGACACTTAATTTATGGCAAAAGCATTTCTTCCATTAGTATCTACATATTTTTTCAGATTTCTTTTTCAGGTATGGCAGGTGAAAATACCACATTATAAGTAATACAAATTATTTTTACAGTGTTGCTTATTTTATCTTTACATCATTTTTAGCTTATATTTTATGTATGTTTTATAATCTATAAATATATTTTTACAAGTAAAAATGCACGTAGCAGAGGTACACAATAAAATGATTTGGGGTGTGCTATAATCTGAATGTTTGTGGCCCCTCAAAATTCCTATTGGAATCTAATCCCCAACGTGTTGGTATTAAGAGGTAGGGCCTTTGGAAGCTGACTAGGTCATAAAACGGAGGCCTCATAAATAGGATTATTTATGAGGTCTTATAAAAGAGGCCTGAGGGAGCTTGTCTGCCCCTTTGCCCTTCTGCCATAGAAGGACACACAGAAGGCACCATCTATGAGGACCAGGCCCTCACCAGACACAATCTACCAGAGCCATGATCCTGGACTTTATAGCCTCCAGAACTGTAAGCAAGAAACTTCTGTTGTTTATAAATTACCCAGTCTAAGGTACTTTGTTATGGCAACCCAAACTGACTAAGACAGGGTACATAATAAAAAAAAAAGTTTGGGCCAGACATGGTGGCTTACGCCTGTAATCCCAGCACTTTGGGAGGCTGAGGGGGGCAGATCATGAGGTCAAGAGATCGAGACCATCCTGGTCAACATGGTGAAACCCCGTCTCTACTAAGAATACAAAAATTAGCTGGGCGTGGTGGCACGTGCCTGTAGTCCCAAGTACTTGGGACACTGAGGCAGGAGAATCACTTGAACCCAGGAGGCAGAAGTTGCAGTGAGCCCAGATCGCACCATTGCACTCCAGCCTGGCAACAGAGCAAGACTCTGTCTCAAAAAAAAAAAAAAGGTTTGGAGTAATCATTGCTATAAGAATTATACAAAGGAGTCTCTATTCTCAAAAACTTGTAATCAGAAGACAAAAATCAAACTATGAAAGTCACACAACACAATTTAAATAACAAGTCAAGACAACAATAGATACAAGTCACAAAGCAATTAACATGATTAATTGCCAAATTAGTGGTTAAAGAAAATAAACACAATAGGAGCGAAGAGAGCAGAAAAACCACTTTTAGCGTGGGTAACCAAGGAAGTGTCACTGGAATACAACTGGCCTCTAAGAATGCATAGGATCTGGCCAAGTGAGGGGAAGGAGAAATAGTTATGGGCAATTGTCTTTAAGGGCAAAACCTAAGAGACATGCACTGCTAGACTGAAAACTCTAAGAAGAAAGAGAACGCATTAAACCCTGGATCCCTCAGTGCCCAGCAGCATACCTGCTGGCACATAGGAAGTACCTGAAAGCTATTTCATAAATACTGCAAGTGAGCAAGGTGGAGCTGGAGTGGACAAGGTCAAACAAGTTACAGAAATGTCCTGGACTGTTTGCTATTCTAACTGTGGGAAAGGTGGTAATTATTACTCATATTAGTAAATGTTATCTAAGAGATCCCCAGGGACAAGGCCAACTTAAATACCATTTTCATACATTCAATGTACAGTGTTATTTTATAAGAAGTAATTTTTACACTAAACACTACTAATTTTCCAATGAAAATATTCCTGTAAACTTTTTAGGCCACTGTTTTTATGCCTTGATCCAAAACATGTCCTAAATAGATGTGCTGCCTATTCCCTGAACTCTGGGGCTCATATTTTATATGATTTGCATACTATTTTTCTAAATCCCATAGAAATTCCTGATCCACATAGGGAAGGCCTAAGGAGTATTTACCATGGCATGCCCCAGTAGCTCAGATTCTCAAGGGAATGAACTAGCAGAGCTTTGATCTCACCCTGATTAGCTCTCCTGCTACATGCTTTATTTACGTTTGTATCTCAATAATGCCTCACACTTACTTGGTGCGCAGTATATGCTTAGCTTATATAAAAAAATAAATTTGAATGGAAAGCACAAAAGCAGAGTAAAGGAAAGAATAGATGGAAAACCAGCAGGGATGGGGAGATAGGGAGATGGGGAGAAGAAAAGAAAACGAAAAAGCAGAGAGAATTGTAGTAGGAAACTGATGACAGGGTAGAGCCAAAAACAGAGAATGAGATAAAGAAGAGTGGGGAAGAAAGGAAAAGGAAGAATTAATAGATTCTGAAGTGTCATTAAAGGATTCCCTTTCCTGTTACTGAAAAGTGCTTTCTAAAGATAGAAAAAAAAAAAGTTTTTTATATCTTCAAATTCTTATATTGAAATGATTATGAAAAGACTTAGCATCTGCTCTATGAGCATATCTGGAACTACAGGGTAATGGGATAAGTGTGCCATCCACGTAGTTTTGGTTGTTAGGTAGTTTGAAAGACTTTCGTTCTTAGATTGCTGCTTGAGATGCTACTGCTATACACTATAAACTCTAAAGCCTCGTGCGAGTTAAATAATCTCTCTCTTCCTCCGTGTTCTCATCTGTAAAATAAGGATAACAGTCATGCTCCAGAGAGTTGTTATGAGGATCCACTGATTTGGTGCACATAAATAAAGTCTTTAGAACAGTTCCTGGCACACAGAGAGCACTCGCTGTCACGAGTATTCAAAAGTACAAATTGCAAAACCAAAAAAGAAGGAGGAGGAGAGTCTATCTCAAACACTATTTTCCTTAAACCCTTTACTCTGCTGGGGCAATAATTTTCAGAGTCAAAAATCTCAATTGACCTCCTCACCTCTTCACGGGGCTACTTCATTTCTTCATTCCACAGACAAAAATTCTGACAGGGGTCCAACTGTGAAAAGACTTAATCAGAGCAGTAAAATAATTTTCCGGTGTCCTAAAGCAAATCTAATGAAGCCCATCATGCCTCTCATGTTACACAGCAGGAAATTTACTGGGAAACAAAGAGAAGAATATCAAGATGGGACACGTAAATTGGCTGCAGAGCAAGCAGAGACTAGAAGGAGCCATCAGAGAAACAAGGACGGGAAGCATCTAGTCTAGGTCAGAGGCTTTCAAACTTTTTTGACACATAATAAGAAACTTTTATATCACCATTTTATGTCACCATCAGTAGAGATATCTGTACTGAGTTATATATATATGTGTGTGTGTGTATATGTATATATATATATACGTGTGTATGTGTTCATATATAAATTGAAAACAAAATTGTTAAGCAATGATACTTAGCTTTATTACATGACGTGTACTTTTGTTCCATTCTCTTCTGTTTTTTATGTAAATCAAGACCCTCTAAAATGATTTCATAACACACCTAAGGGTCACAGCTATCAATGGTTTGAAACCCACAGCTCTGTCCAATACAATCTCACAGAACACAGCTTCCTGGAAAATGAAGATAACAATACTCAACTCCACACTTGGTCAAAACTATTCCTTGAACACTTCATTCAGTTCTAGGCATTACACTTTAAGAAGTATAGAGACTAACTGGATCACATTCAGAAGAAGCCAAAAAAGACGAGGAAGGACACAAATCGCATGACAGAAGCAAAGGCTACATGTTAGCCTACAGAAGAGAGAAATATCAAACATGATAGCCATCTTCACTCACATGCAGGATCAATTAAGCTTGTTCTATATTGTGACAAGGGAGAGAAGTGGCAAGGAAAAGGGTTTCAGGTCAAGGTAGAAAAGCACTATGTAACAGTATTAGCTGCCCAGGGGGCTGTGTTGGGACTCATGGAGCTTCCACATGACTGGAGATCTTTACAGACAGCCTGAACAGTCACTTGGCAGAGAAGCATTAGAAGGGGTTCATAGATCACATGGTTAACATTAGAGTGTAACACTTTCCAATCCTGAAATTCTATAATTCTGGTGTAGATTAAAGCAATAGTATACTTTAACATGACTACTAAAGCTAACACTAGTTCTTTATTAAGTTTTTAATAAGAAATGAATTCTACCGTGAACCACATGAAACGAAGTTGAAATGGCAAATTATATTTTCTTGTAACAAGAGAATGTAACAAAAATTGGCAATGTGCCTATCATAGTCATTAAAAATCTTCATCAGTTACAATTAGAGAAAAACTGAAATGTTACCCAAATCACTGGCATAGTGTCTAAGATGTTCAACTTAGAATATATAACTATATTACAGCTTCAATAAGCAAACATCAAAAAAGGTGATCTTTAAAATGTACAGAAATGAGAGTATTTACAAAAGAAGATTGTATTATAAACATTCTCTCCTTGCCCAAAAGCCATTCGTTGGTGTGTGTCGATTTTATGTGTATTTTATACCTACAAAATACATGTATAAATTCTCTCCTTACCCAAAAGCCATTCTTTGGTGTGTGTATATATATGTAAAGCATGCACAAAGTAACAATGTCCTCTCTGATTTTTTACTGATCCAACTAACTGAAAATGTGAGTAATCTTCAGAAAAGTTTTTATCCGTATAACCATCTACCATATTTATTTTTAAAAAACCGTATCTCCAATTATCTAATATATAGTTAGGAATTACTTATCAATAACATACTACTGTCACCCCTCTGAGACAGAATTCTTAAGAAGGCCAACTCCTGGACTGTTAGAATACAGAAACCTTTCTAGAATCATACTATTCAAAGACAGCAGGTCCATGGACCAGTTCTGGTCTGTAAATTATTACTAATCCATAATAAGAAAAGTACAGAAAATGAGATAAGAATTTTAAAACATTTACAGCAATGTGTAAAAGTAATTTTAAGTCTGATGAATCTACTAATAAAAGAGTCAAGCCTTGTATTTCATGTCTTTTTCATTTCATTCTTCTAGCAATTCATTTTTATATTTTACAAAAGTATCAGTTGGTGACTAGATTTTTTTTTAATCTGCTCTTCCATCAAAGAGTTTGAAAAACACTTTTCTAAAGAATCTTTAGATGCTGAAGGTCCTTGGATATGAAGATAAGCTGCTTTACTTTGATGTCTTCTAATCTCCCTATTCATCTTGGTTTTCCCACAACAGTAACAAACATTAATTTATTTCTTTCCAAGTGTTCTTTTGATATCTCTACTAAGTTGACAGCAACATCAATATAGTTCACTGCCTAAAATTTATCATCAGGTTATCTGCCTGACTGCTCAGAATCTGTAACACTATTTCATTTCCATCCAGATGTAGCTCCAACATATTCTTGGGTTCATTCCTTGTAAGAAGATATTAACAAATCTGACAAGCCAGTTTGAAGGGGTCACCCAATCTGGCAACATGACTGCTCGCATAATCTGTGGTCATCTATCCTTTGGAAATACTAAAGGGTAGTATGGCTCAGTTTTAAACCCCAGACCTTCTAAAGAGACCATCTAAAGTAATGGTCTCTTGCATCCTGAATTCATGCCAATCTACCTATACTTCCAATCTTCCATTTGAACTATATTGGTTCTCAGAATCCTTTTCTGACTTACACACTCTTTTAATTTCTTGAGTAAATACCTACAAAGATAGATATAATAAGCGTATTTATAAAAACCTGCCAATGACAATTCCAAAAGATACTTTTATGATGCAAAAACATGATAAATACTATTCTTTAAAAATTAACTACATTGTGCTGTGCTGTAAGAAATTATTCCACAATGCCAATAATTATATCATTAGTTTTAGTTAAGATTTGCAAAGTCATTCAAGCTTCCAACTCCTCAATAACTTTAATAATGGAAAAAATAACAACAACAAAAAGAATAAGGAGTCTGCGAATGTAGTTCAAAAAGCAAATCAGTGACAGACTTAAAATAACTACATGTGTTTAATTTCTACCCCAGTTCCAACAATGAAATCGTTTTCCCTTTACATACCCTAGTAATTGTTCAGCATTCCTTCCTAAGGTAGGAGACGCCACAGCCTTGGTTCAATGTTTAGATCCCCTAAGGCCAGTTTCTGGAATTAGGCATGGTTAAACATCACAACAGCACAGAAGAATGGCTATTTTCTTTGAGTGGCTAAAAGCTTGGGGATTAGTGGGTATAGTGTAGACAAAGTAGTGGTGTAGGTTTTGTGAAAAGAAGAAGAAAAGGAAAAGTACATGGAGGAGGCACGTCCTATTCCTACTCTATCTCAACATGAGCTGGTTTTTATTTTTTATTATTAGATTTGTTTAAAATAATATAAATGGCTGATAGTGGAAAATAGATCAGATCTAGAACAGTTATGAAGAGTCTGGTTAGGACTCGTTAGGAAAAGAGATGGAGTGCTGACAGTAGAGATAGAGAGAAATGGATGAACTGGAGGCCAAACAGCTTCTGAGAGCAGCTGATGAGGCTTGAAGAGAGATTTGCATTTCAAGAAGTAAGGATATCTTGAAGTCCATGCTCAAGATTGTGATAAGGATTTAGTTTCAGTATCTTATTTTATTTAGGAGCCCACAGCTGTAGGCTTGCCTCCATTTTTCTTCACCCTTCCTTTTCTATAATCTTTTCTTCTCCCCTGATTTCCTTTTCCTATCTTATTGTCCTTCCTCTGTCTTCGTTCTTTCCCTTCAAATCCACCCCTTTCCTCCTTCCCTCCCTAACCTTCTCCTTTGGTTACACACAATATGGAACTGGAAGAATTTTTAAATATTTATTCTATGCATGAATAGTTCTTAACTTAAAATCCAGAGGGTTCAAACATGTATATATATTATACGTTTGCAAAAAGACACGTAATAGAATGTTCACAATGGCACTATTCAAAATGGACTAAAACCAGTGTATTAGTCTGTTCCCACACTGCTAATAAAGACGTGCCCCAAACTGGGTAGTTTACAAAGGAAAGAAGTTTAATTGACTCACAGTTCAGCATGGCTCGGGAGGCCTCAAGGAACTTACAATCATAGCAGAAGGGAAAACAAACACATCCTTCTTCACATGGCGGCAGCAAGGAGAAGTACTGAGCAAAAGGGGAAAAAGCCCCTTATAAAATCATCAGATTGCATGAGAACTCACTCTCTATCACAAGAATAGCACCCAGGATTCAATTGCTTTCTACCGGGTCCCTCCCACGACAGGTGAGGATTATGGAAACTACAATTCAAGATGAGATTTGGGTGGAAACACACCCAAACCTTATCAATTAGAAACTACTCAAATGCCCTTCAAAAGTACAGTAGATAAACTGTGGCATGTTACACAACGGAAGACTAGTTGCTCAGCCAGAAAAATGGGTGATCTACAACTATCTGCAACAACAGAGAATACCACAAACATAACGCTGAACAAATGAAGCCTCGCACAAAATGCCATTTTGTGCAGCAAAAATTCCATCTATATACGTGTGTGTGTATATATATATATTAAATATATTAACCTATTTTGTTGGAAGTCAGGAGAGCAGTTATCCTTTCATTGGAAGAGGGGTCAGTGACTAGATGGGAGCACAAAGAGGATGTACAAGGTGCTGATAATGTTCAGGGTTTTGGGTGCTAGTTACACAAGTCTGTTCAGCTCGTGAAAAATCAATGCATTATATACTTACTTATGATTCAGTGTACTTTTCCGAATATACACTATACCTCAATAAAAAGTTTTTAAATTTAAAAATCAATTAGTTTAAACCTTTAATGTCTAGGAGAGGGAAGTAGCAACAACTAACCTTTTTGTTTCTCTGATGCTTTCTAATGACTTTTTTCAACCTAAGAGACAACTGTGATACACCCCTGAACCTGACACCACGACATTACTTTCAGATTCACAGTTTTATACTAATTGTGCCAGGTCCTATGCTAGGTAGTGGAGACAAAGCAGTTATGACAGATAAGGGCCCTATCTCCTCTGCTAATGGAGACAGGCCTAAGAAACAATAAATAAAAGCTTGAAATTGGCAATAGGACAGATTCTCATACAGAAAATAACCAGGGAGAACTGTTATAGATGGAATGGCTTAGCTATGCAACCCTGAAAAAGTTACATAACTTACTTGAGTTTCAGTTACCTTGTCTGCCTGAAGAGACTATTACACGGATTATATGTGACAATACCTTTCAAAGCACTTACATTACAATGAAACATTATTAATGATAACAGTTATTGTTATATTACTGTCCTTACTGCCAATATACAGCTGCTTATATTAACCAATGTCATAGCATGTTCTATACATTACTACCATAATCATAACAATGAGTAATATTTTATAAGTCACTAATTCTCAATTAAAAAGCTTCTACTATGGGAGAAACAGGTGCATCGGTGAATGGGTGTCCTTTGCCACAGGAGGGGATACTAGTGATACAAAGGTCTGGCTCAATTTCACCATAGCCTTCTCTGACCTTTCTAGCGAAGAAAGCACAGAAAGATGATGCTAAGAGAGGGGCAGGCTAGAGAAATTTAACCAACTGGAGAACATATATGAAGTACCTCAAATTTTGTCAGAGTGAAACTTCTGTGCATTAAAAGACATTATCAACAGAGTAAAAAGGCAACCTATGGAATGGGATGGGATGCTTGTAAATCATGTATCTATCTGAGAAGGAACTGATATTCAGAATCCATAAAGAAATCATACAGTGAATACCAAAAAAACTTTTTTGATGGGCAAAAGACGAACAGACATTTCTCCAAAGAAGATGTATAAATGGCCAAGAAGTACATGAAAAGATGCTCAAGCCTGTAATCCCAGTACTTTAAGAGGCCAAAGTGGGAGGACTATTTGAGCTCAGGAGTTCAAGACCAATCTGGGTGACATAGCAAGACCCTGTCTCTACAAAAAATAAACAAATTACCCAGGTACGATGGCACATGCCTGTGGTCCCAGCTACTCAGGAGGCTGAGGTGAGAGGATTGCTTGAGCCCAGGAGGTGGAGGCTGCACAGTGAGCTGTGATCGCACCACTGCATTCCAGCCTGGGTGACAGAGTAAGACTCTGTCTCAAAAAAATAGTAACAATAATAATGATGCTGAACATCAGTAAACATTAGGGAAATACAAACCAAAACCACTGTGAGATACCACTATACACCCATTAGGATTACTATTATCAAAACAAAAACAAAGAAAAACAGAAAGTAACAAGTGTTGGTGTTGATGAGGATGTGGAGAAATTAAAACCCTTGTGTCTTGCTGGTGGGAAAGTAAAACAGTGCAGCCTCTGTGGAAAACGGTATAGCATACAGCCATAAAAAAGAAGGAAATCACATACTTTGCAGCAACGTGGATGCAGCTGGAGGCCATTATCCTAAGTGAATTAACACAGAAACAAAAAATCAAATACCGCATGTTCTCACTTATAAGTGGAAGCTAAACACTGGGTAGACATGGACCTAAACATGGGAACAATAGACACTGGGGACTCCAAGAGAGGGGAGGAAAGGAGGGAGGCAAGGGTTGAAAAACTACCTGTTGGGGCCGAGCACAGAGGCTCACACCTGTAATCCAGCACTTTGAGAGGCCAAGGTGGGTGGATGGCTTGAGTCCAAGAGTTTGAGACCAGCCTGGGCAACATGGCGAAACCTCATCTCCAAAAAAATACAAAAATTTAGCCAGGTGTGGTAGCATGTGCTGTAGTCCCAGCTACTCAGGAGACTGAGGTGACAGGATTGCTTGAGCCCAGTAGGTTGAGACTGCAGTGAGCTGTGGTCATATCACTGCCCTCTAAACTGTGTGACAGAGTCCCATGAGACCCTATCTCAAAAAAAAAAATTGTTTTTAAAAAAAGAGAACCTACCTATTGAGTATTACACTCACTACCCATGTGACAGGTTCAATTCTACCCCAAACCTCAGCATCACACAATATACTCTTGTAACAAACCTGCATATGTACCCACTGAACCTAAAATAAAAGTTGAAATTATTTTTAAAGAAAGAAAGAAAACAGTATAGCAGTTCCTCAAAAATTTAAACATAGAATTATCATACGATCTAGCAATTCTACTTCTGGGTATATACCCCAAAAACTGAAAACAGGGGCTCAAACAGGTATTTGTACACCCATATTAATAGCATTATTCACAACAGCCAAAGATAGAAGCAACCCAAGTGTCTATCAACAGATGAAAGGGTAAACAAAGTGTGATATAGACAGACAATGAAACACTATCTAACCTGTAAAAGGAAATTCTGACGCTACGATATGGATGAACCTTGAAGACACTACGCTAGCTGAAGAAAGCCAGTCACAAAAGGGTAAATACTGCATGATTCACTTACATCAAGTGAGGTACCTAAAGTAGTCACATTCAGAGACAGATGCCAGAGTGGTGGCTGCCAGTAGCAGGGGGAAAGGAGAAATGGAAGTTGTTGTTTAATGGTACAGAGTTTCAGCTTGCAAAATGAAAAAGGGTTTGGAGATAAACGTCTCCAAATGCCACATTTCTCATGTACTTAATGCTAAAGATGTGTACACTTAAAAATAATGAAAATTGTAAATTTATGTGTATTTTACCACATTATAAAGTATAATGTGCCAAGTCCAAAATTGACCCAACGTGTAATTACTGAACCACAAAAACT